TTGGACACTTTTTCTTTTTCCCTCTTACTTTGCATTTAGTTTTTTTTTTTTTTTTTTTAATTTTAATTTTAAGGTTTTGAATTGATTCTCTATGGTACGGCACAGGACCAAGCAGCTTTGCCTTTTGCTTTGGGAAAAATGCCACCACACATGCGTTTATGAAATGTGTCCAACACTAACTTTATTTTATGGGACATATGTAATTAATTTCCTAAGTTGGATCGCAGTCAAATTCACTCATTCAAGGAGAAAAGGAAAACACCTGTAAAACCCTATACCATGGAAAATGATGATCGTGATACCACAGACAATTAGTCCACTGCCCACCAAACACCAAATCAAAGACGTGATCAAGAAACCAAACAACTCCAATTCATTTAGCTTTGCTCAGGAAAAATTGTAAAATTTGTCATTTTATTTTATTTTTTTATAATGTGTTCAGTGCAATTAACTTATAACTTAGAAATACAAGAGTTAAAAACCCAGTTAATTGATTGAATTAAAAATGTTTGATTAGATTAATCGATAAGTTAACTCATAAATATAAATGACTTAAAAAATAATTACTTACTTGAGGTATGAAATGATTTTTAAGTGTTAGTACACATGTTACGTATAGTTTGATACTAATTTTTTTAATCAAAGATTAGGGTTTAATCTCCAACTTGGGTATAAAGTCAAATGTACCATTTTACTTATAAGAGTTAATCTTGTAGAAAAGAGACATATCTTCTTATTAAATAAAAAAATGGGAAAAAAAATTTCATATGTTAAAATTAGCTTTTTTTTAACATGAAGAAACTCATATCATTTTATTCATAATATATAATTAACTCCATACAACTGGGAATCAAATCGTAAACTTAGAGACTAATGTGGGAACATGATACTCTAGCTAAAGAGTGAGCAACCCGATTTGTTTACCTCCTTAAAATACTGATTTTATAATTTTGTAAATAAGAGAGGATTTCTCAACAATGAGTAAGGGTGATACCAAACTCAGTTTGGACTTAAGGTGCTCCATTCAAATTATCAACAATGGATTTACAATCTAACTCTATGGTGATGCTAAAATCGAGTTCTTGGATCCAAAGTAAGGCATGTAACAAGTTGTTAGTCTCTACTTCCCTTAGGGGAAGGTAGACCATGATGGAAGACAGTTTTTATTGACACGAAGTCTCCATGTTAGCATATTTTCTGTTGTGTTAGTTACTGTAATCTGTTTTCAATTCTGGTTTAATGTTGGTTAGTTGTTTGGACCTCACTTGTAACTCTATAAGAGCATTATATTGGTTAATGAATATTCAGTGAAGTATTTCAGCATTTTATACTTCTTCGTTCTTTATATTCTAAACATTTTGGCATCAGAGCTCCTATTGGGGCCTGTGAAGAAAGTGAGTTGCATTCGTGATAGAGAGAATGGCAAATGCAAACGATAGCAGTTTTGTACAACCAGCAATTCCGCGCTTCGATGGTTACTATGACCATTGGAGTATGCTGATGGAAAACTTCTTAAGATCCAAGGAGTATTGGAGCTTGGTGGAAACCGGATTTGAAGATTCAGAAAAGGGAAGTGCAGCTTCTGAAGATCAGAAAAAGAAACGTGATGAGATGAAACTGAAAGATTTGCAGGTCAAGAATTACTTGTTTCAAGCCATAGATAGGACAATCTTGGAAACAATCTTGCAAAAGAATACATCAAAGGAAATATGGGATTCAATGAAAAGAAAATATGAAGGCAATGCAAGAGTGAAAAGGTCGATTCTTCAAGGTTTAAGGAAAGAATTCGAGATTCTTGAAATGAAATCGGGTGAGAGCATAACTGACTACTTTTCTCGGGTCATGAGTGTGGCTAGCAAGATGAGAACATATGGAGAGCAGATGCAGGATGTAATAATTGTTGAAAAGATTCTAAGATCCTTAACTGAAAAATTTAATTACATAGTTTGTTCAATTGAGGAGTCTAAAGACATTGACTCTCTTTCCATTGATGAACTTCAAAGTTCTTTAATAGTTCATGAGCAGAAATTTCACAAAAAACATGAAGAAGAGCAGGCACTCAAAGTAAGTTCTGAAGACAATGGAGGTAGGGGCAGAGGCAGCTATAGAGGAAGAGGAAGAGGAAGAGGGAGGAAAAAGCGAGCCACAATTGAATGTTTTAAATGTCATAAACTCGGGCATTATAAGTATGAATGTCCAGATTGGGATAAAGAAGCCTATTATGCTGCATTCAATGAAGAAGAAGAGCTCTTACTAATGGCTTATGAGGATTTACATGGTGTGCAGACAACAAATGCATGGTTCTTGGATTCTGGTTGTTCAAACCACATGTGTGGAAACAGAGCTTGGTTCAAAGAAGTAGATGACACCTTCAAGCAACATGTAAAGCTTGGTAATAACACAAGAATGAAGGTAACTGGAAAAGGAAGTGTTAGGCTGAACATTAAAGGAGTCACTCACATAATTACTGATGTCTTTTCAGTACCAGAACTCAAGAACAATTTGTTGAGTATAGGGCAGCTGCAAGAAAAAGGCTTAACGGTAATGTTTCAGTCAGGAACCTACAAGTTGTACCATCCTGACAAGGGTTTGATTCTAGAGACTAATATGACAACAAATAGAATGTTCATTCTATTTGCTCAATCTGCAACCAAGAAGGATTCATGCTTTCACATCTCTACTCAGGATCTCTCATCTTTATGGCATCGTAGATATGCACATCTTAGTCACAAAGGACTAAGAATTTTACAAAGCAAAGGAATGGTTAGAGGCCTTCCTTCTTCATTATCTACAACAGAAAAGGTGTGTGAAGATTGTATGAAAGGAAAACAACATCGAGATCCCATCCCAAAGAAAAGTCAATGGAGAGCAAAACAAAAATTAGAATTAATTCATGCAGATATTTGTGGCCCGATCACTCCATCTTCCAATAGCCAAAAGAGGTATTTTTTGTGTTTTATTGATGATTACTCTAGAAAGACATGGATTTATTTCTTAACAAAAAAATCAGAGGCATTTCACTACTTTCAATGTTTTAAGAATCTTGTTGAAAAGGAATCTGGTTTGATGATTAAGTGCCTCATAACTGATAGGGGAGGAGAGTTCACATCATCGGAGTTCAATGAATTCTGTCAGAAAACAGGAATTAAAAGACAGTTAACAATAGCTTACACCCCTCAACAGAATGGGGTAGCTGAGAGGAAGAACAGAACCATCATGAACTTGGTGACAACTTTATTATCAGAGAAGAAACTTCCAAAATCCTTTTGGCCTGAAGCAGTAAACTGGGTAGCGTATGTACTAAATAGATCTCCAACATTGGCTGTCAAGAATCAAACGCCAGAGGAGGCTTGGAGTGGTGTCAAGCCTTCAGTTGAGCATTTTAGGGTGTTTGGTTGTGTAACTCATGTACACGTTCCAGATGCAAGGAGAACCAAATTGGAAAACAAGAGTTGTAAATTGTTCTGTT